TGAATTCCCTGAAGTGCTTCAATCTAATGCCTAAGACACTTAATTTATCATCCCCGAAACCCAAGAGAATAGGATTTTAAAATGAACCTCACCATTAAATCAGGAGTATTGACATCCACTAGATCCATCACTTCGAAAATTTTCTTGGTCTCTTGAGTGGGCTGGCTGGGACGATCAAGAAAAGCCTTCACCCAGTAGTCTACACACCCATACTTTCCTTTGAAGGATGTTCCCAAAGGCCTGTCGGGGGGAAAAAAAGAAGCGGTTAATCTACAAACGCTCTCCAAGAACAGGAAGTGACCAAAGGCTGGGAAGAGTGTGAGAGATTAAAAAGTCCAAAGATGCATTCAGCAGACACCTACCCCTGAGGAAGCTCAAAGCCGAACTTGTACTCGTATTTGTTTCCAGGTCTCATGATCACCATCTCATTCTCACCTGAAAAGAAGGAAAAGCAAGTAGCCCGTAAGTTTCTTGTTACACTTAAAATGCAGTTGTGCGATAAGGAGTTCCTGGGCAGCAAGCAAGCCTACTGTAGTTCCCCCACTCTTATCTGGCATATTCTTAAATGAGATTCTGACGCATTTTGTTGGGCAAAAAGTTACAAAGCCCTGCAGTGATGACAGGCTACTATCATCTCAAACAGGAAGCAAGCAAAGAATAAGCAACTTATGCATTAAAAAAAAAAATCCTTAAATAGCTAAGGCAACACCCCTCAGGATCACCTTCAGATCACAACACTGTAGGAAACTGTACAAATCACCATTTTTTAAGGAGTCTGCAAGTCAAAACTTAAAAAAAAAAAAAAAAAAAAGAAAAAGAAAAGGAAGCAACACGAAATTCAAGCCGCTCAACCCGAGCAACTTGGAATATTTAGCAAAAGCTCCAACTGTCCGTTTCAACTCTTCCCGAATCAGCTTCCACCCTCCCGGCAGACAACGGGGCCACTCACCTGTGGGCTCGTCTTCCAAGAGAAGCGTGTCTTCGTAGCGCAAGTACTCGGAGGTCTGTTTGCACTGCTGGGATCCCTGCATCCACAGGACCTTCGCCACTCCGCAAGCCAGGATCCTGACAGCTTTGACTCGAGTGACTTCACAAACCTCCACTACCACCCGGCCAGCCACCTTCTCCCCACTGCCGTACACCTTTTCAGGGTCGTTAAAGACCACCTCAAAAGATTTGATCTTCTTGAACATCACCATGATTGGACTGGGTTGGCTTAACAGTTAAAAAACGGGGGAGAGAAAGAACAACAGCAAAAGTCCCAAATCCAAAAATTACAGAAAATTAAGGTTATCTCACTCTCCAACTCTCCACTAAAATCTGATGGAGATGTCAGGAAAACGTAAGCTGCGGGTTATGCCAAGGAATTTCCAGAGAAAAATCAGCTTTTTTTCCCCCCTTTCCTCCAACAGCTGGAGGAGTGCTCCGGAGCTCGGCGAAGCCACCCACGAACCTGGGCCGAAGAGAGCAGTGTACAGTTGCTAGCGTGAGCCGGAAACTGTTTTATATAGTAGTCAGGCACCGCAGGGCCACGCGAGCGCTGGCCCGAAGGCTCGTGCTGCCCTCGTGCACAGCCCTCCCATTGGCTGCCCGGTCCTTGTTTACCGGGAGCCCAACCAATCGGCGAGGTCGCAGCGGCGCGTGGACACGGTGTG